ATTAAAAATAGAAAACAAATGCAAAATAGGAAGTTTGGTCTCATGTGAAAGTAATTGATTTGTTAAATGTACTCGACTAATGAGCCGAACGAGTAATTGGTAGGCAAATGCCATTTATTACCTGGTTCTAATACTTATTATAGTGTTGTTTATCATTGAGCATGTTCTTTTAAATTATCTTATGATAATTATGCAAAGTAAAGTTCATGTAATGACAAAAAATTAATTCATTTTTCCTGTAACGTTTGATACAGGCTACGTTCACTTTCCCACAAGTTGTAGGCCTAAGTTCACAATCAACATATTCTTTGCTAACAGTACCTATGCTTAACTTACTTAGCTTTGATTGATAAACACATAACCCACTTAAGTAACTTAGTAGCAGAATGGATGTAACAATATTCACTGTCTAACAGGGAACTGAAACACTCTTTCACTGCTTGTTAATTTCTCATTCATTAATTATATTTATAAATAATGTACTCTCATCTCTAAACATTTGATGAAGCTTCTTAATCATGGTTAGCAGATCCTTGTAGCAAACAATTAATTCTAACTTTGAAAATGAAGCTTACGACAATAGTAAATTATCAGTAATTTGTGATCAAAGCAAGCTATTGTAACTATACACACATCAAATCTAAAAATAATTTGGTAATCAATGTTGCTAATTTTATGCTGGTGTAACTAGGATTGGATAATGTTATAAGCTGAAACAGATGGATTAAAATGTCATGACTCGTCAGTTAGGTACTTGTTAACCTAATGTTTCCCCAATCTAGCTGTGTGGGACATCATACAACTTGGTTTATAAAATGTATATTTATAATGTTTAATATTAAAACGAACATCAACTAATGCTCAACAAATTTCAAAACCTTATATTTGGTATTTCAAAAATTCCAGGCTTCCAAACATTTAGGAACTCATAAGAACTCTGAAAAAAAATTGAAGCATGGGTCTGAATGAAGTATAAAAACAGACGTACATTTGATGATTTCTCTTTCTGAGAAATTGGCACTTGTATGAGATTAAAGAGACTACTTTGTAAAAAGTATTTGCTGCAACAGTTCCTAGATGGATATTTTCACAAGGGATTCTTGCAAGACTCAGAGTCATAAAACTCAACTAAACTTTCCTGTATGCAGTAGTATACTAAATAGTTGTTAGGAGAGTGGAAGTCACGTGATGCTAGTAACACATCATGAGATTCTCGAAGGATCTTGACTTTTCCTGGCAACTCTAGTCTTTTCTAGGTGTCCTCTATTTTAGTATATAAGCCCGGCAAATAAAATGGAGTAAGTATAGTAGATTGAAGAGAGATATAGAGACAGATAATTGAGTCAAGTAAGCGGTAGAGACCATAAGTAAGGTGCGTGAATCGTTGTGAATTATAGCATATGTTTAAATTAAAGTGACTGTGAAAATTCTGTGTATTGCAAAGTTGTATTGTGAAAGAATAAACTAGTTTTATTTAAGAAAAGACTTGTATCGCTGAAGTTCGTCAAAAAGAATTTTTACGGGAAATTAACAAATGAACAGAGACGCAGAAGTGGGATGAAACATAGTATTCAGTAAAATAGTCCTTAGAATTGACAGAATGTGGATGAATAGGAAAACCTTAGCATCCAAGATCTGCTTTTTAACAAGAGTAAAATGGTTTAATAGAGCAAGATGAGTTGCTGTATGTGGCTTACAACTATTAATATAAATTATGAAAAAAATAAGTCAGTCATATATAATAAATGCACACCTCCAAGTGAAAGCTTTGAAACTTTTACTTTCATTTTATTCTTTATTTCCTTTATCTTTGTTCAAAATAAGCAAAAAAAAACTTATAAATTTTCAAGTAAACCTGAATTTTTAGTGGAAAACATTGCCTCAAAATTTTTGTTACTTTAGTCATATTATTACAATAATTAACCAATACAGATCCATGGAAATACAGTGATTAGTGAGTATTTGTGATGTGGAGGTAAACAATAAAAAATTTTTTATCAGTAGAATAAGGAAATATACATGGTAAAATCTCTTGTCATTATACACAAAGCAATACATTTCTTCATGAAACTTTTACAGATGGGTATAGGAATTCACATTTATTATTAGTCAGATATACATTATCATGAACCATGATAGTGGTTTATAACAGAGATAGCAAGGAATTCACAAAACCCTAATAGAATGTTTGGGCAAAAAGCACCTTAAAAAAAGTAAAGATTTGGTTCAAACAACACTTTAAAACCTTTACTATTGACTGGTAACACTGTACATATACAAAAATGTGCAAAAAAAGCATGCATGTTAGACTTGCAAGGAAAAGTAAATTGCTCAAAACTGCCCATTTGTAATTATTACTATTATTCTTGCCAGCCTACAACAAAAATGGCTTGGTATATTGCACCCAAATCTTTTGTAGAGTACTGAATAAGGTACTGTAAAGATTGTAGAGGTATTGAAAAGTCGATTTGGTTTTTCTATATTGTACATAAGCTAAAAAACATCATAATTCTAATGTAAACAATGTTATCATTACCCCTTGAAGTCAGCTTTCTTACAAATATCTGTTGTTTATTTAAAAAACTTAAATACATGGTGAAAAAGGAATTACCAGTCAATAACAGAAGAACATTAGATGACTAACATGAAGATACTCAATGGTTTGTACACTATACAATCGGTGGCTTTAGGGAGCCAACCCCTATATTATGTATGAAGTAAAGGAGTAAAAAAAAACAATACATATGATATTACATTTTATTACACACATTTGTAGAATAATTACATTAAATGACACACAGGTTTATTAAAGCAATGTTTTAGACATATGTTTTACTTGGAAAGGCTATTTTTCTAATGGTAACATTTTATATATGCTTAGTGTGGGTTGTGTCTTAGTCTAGCCGTATTTTTGCTCATTGCTATGCATTATGTATAGAGAATTAAGTTATACAGAAACTATAAATGCTCACTATATTTTCAAACAATTCACCATGACAATCTCCAGCTGCAGTTTAACATTTTACAACTCAAACTAATGTGATCAAATAGTCAATAACTACAATAAATCATCATGAACCATATCAGCTAGCTACTAGCTATGTTTATTATCATAATAATGTATAAAGTTAGCTACCATGTCAAGTAATCCTTTTCTCATAGTTCAGCATAAAAAAAGTAAGCAAACAAGGCTGGATATACTGTATACCTTATTTACTCAAACTACAAATCCCTATTTTGACTTCACCAAATGTAATTCTGTGTAACAGCATGGAGCCAAAATAGGGGTTTGTAGTGTGTGTAAATAATGTCCAAGGTATCTCTAGCCTTGTTTGCTTAATTTTGTTACAGTATCTATTTACAGGTTTTTCAATTCCCAATTTTTATTTATCTTGTTTATAT